GATTAAAATGGTCCACCCTCTATTATATATATATATATATGTATATATATATATATATATATATATACACATATACATATATATTAATAAATCTGCCTCAAATCACGGTATATCAAGCATTCCGGACTATATGTGCATCCTTATATATGTAGAGCTCAATATTCGTGTATTTCATGTGAGAGTTCCTATCTAGCTAAACTTTTATCTTATTAAGTGTTTATATGCTGTATGATTATTGTATATGCAGCTAATTGATCGCAGCAGATAAATATTTTTTTTCCCAACTATTGTCGATAAACTATAAATTGCGCATATGCAAATAAATTCGTAGCATAAAATAATCAAGAATTGTATGCGTATCGATCCTTTTACACTTCATTTTTGTACACTTTTTTTTATTACAACTTGCTTAGTATAATTGGGAAGAAATTTAATACTAATATTTAAGAGAAAAATATTAAGTCGCCTAGATATTTTATAACGTGATACAGTGTCACTGAATTATATCGATCAATGGGTGCGAGAGAACTTTATGAATATCTGAGTATGTGAGTGTGTATTATAAGAAAAAAATTGAAACGTTGAGGAAAAAGAAAAGCAGACACATATTTAATAAATCACTTGTAAACGATGTATGGCTTTGAAATACGCGTTATAATCGGACAGTGACAACAATGAAGAACACAAGACGAGATAATTTTTATGGAAAAATATCAACGATTTATTAATAAAATAACAATTTAAAGCGATTATGGGCGTAGTACAAATGAATATCAGGCTGAGGCCAGCTCCTGGATCACAGATCGTATTAAAGTTACCGCAAAAGCTAGATTTAATATAATAACGATTATTGTTCAAAACTATCATGCCACTCTTAAGCTACATTTAAAATAATTGATTATCACGTCATGTTCAAAATAATTATACAATAATCACTTGGTCGAGAGCACTCTATCACGAAAAATCACTCGAGACCGCGCAAATTACTGGCACTTTCGAGCGGACTTGAGTCTAATAACAGCACCTGGTATTCCGTACCTGCGACATCGTCCTGATAATACATCGACGGCAGTTCCTCTGTAAACAACAGACCCTCGCTCAGGTCGTCACTCGCGCCCAACACAACGTCCGACGTTTCCGTTACGGTCGAATTCATCAGTGCACCGTTCCTCTTCGATTTAGACCAATCGGAATATGTTAGATCTGTCCTTGCCGAGCCCTGCTCCTTCACCGATATCGCTTTGTTGTCGACGATCCGCTTGTCGGCTCGCGCGTCGTTCCGGAACGTTTCCGAGCTCTTCGGCAGGGTGTTGAGAGGTGGCGGGTCCGGTTCCGGCAGACAATGATCCGTCCTTGGTGAGGAGGTATCGAGGATGACGGCGTCACACGGAGTCACCATGACCATCTGTTCCTCTTCGACAGCAGTGGGTGAACTTGGGGGCGAACCGTGCACGGTGTACAAAATGTAATCTATGTTGGCATCGTCCGAGGACGGTTTAGCCAACAAATCGTCGCAATGTATGTCGTGCACTTTCAACATGTGCTCGCGAAGACTCGTCTCGTTGTTGATCAAATGCCCGCATATATCTATCGGGCAACGGTACACCCACTCCATTTGATCCTGGGAACACGCGCCGACGATCTGCCTCTCGACGTTGCCCTCCTTCGCGGCAGTCTCCGCGGCGTTCATCATCAATTCGGCGTTCCATCGCTTCGACTTGTTGATCGACTTCACTCGCGGGTAATGAGATTCTCTTGCCCTCGTGCGTTTTGCGTGATCGCCGGAAGTGCACTCGGGCGTATCGTTGGCTACGTTCAAATCCGACTTCGTCTGCTGATGTTTCTTGATGTGCACGTACAAACTGCTCTTGGCGGAGAACCGGGCGGTGCACATGAAGCACTGGAAAAAGCGACCCTCCGCATGCGTCAGTCGGTGCTCCTTCAAATGCTCCGAGCGCATAAATGCCTTGCCGCAGTCCGGCACGTCGCACACGAATTTGCGCTCGTTCGTGTGCTTCTTCTGGTGGCGCTTGAGCTTACTGGACGACGAGAAGGCCCACTTGCAATCCTGGAAGGTACAGGGGTAGGGCTTGTAGCCGGTGTGAGAGCGCATGTGAGCCTTGAGTCGGCATGGTTTGTCGAAAATCTTGCCACAGCCCGGCCACGAGCACTTGATGTCCACTTCCTTGTAGCTGTGCGATCGCTGATGCGACGTCAATGCGTTGCTACTGTAATAACGTTTGCCGCAGCCCTCGTGCTGGCACACGTAAGGCGCGTGCCGTTGGTCGTGCGATTTCATGTGCAGCTCCAATGCCCGTTTCGTTTGAAACTTCTCGCCACAGTCTGGCACCTGACAAACGATCCGATTGGGACGATTGTGCAACTTCGCGTGACTCCACAGATTGTAGACGGTAGTGAAACGACGATTGCAGCCTTCCACCTCGCACACGTAATCCTTGCGCTTCAGATGCGTCTCCTTGTGTCTTTTTAGCTTGAACTCGGAATAAAAGGCCCAAGTGCAGCCCTCGAAATCGCACTGTAAAAATATATAGCCAATTAGGATAATTAAAAAAAATCACGATTGTACGTCGAGTAATTTTAAGAGCTGATTTACAAATTTGATTCAAAGAATTTTTTATTTACTGCAAAATTATATTACTGTGACAACGAGATTAGAGGAAGAATATCAACGCTATCTTTTTTTATATACCTTAAACGGTCTAACTCCATAGTGAGCTAATAAATGACCCTTCAAAGTGTACAATCTGCCGAATTGTCTGTTGCAGCCGTCTCGTGGACAGAGCCACACCTTGTCGTGCTCGGTGGCGCATAAAGGCTGCAGGCTATCGTCGGTGATGCCCAATTCCTCCAGCGCATTGGATATAACGATTTCATATTGACTGCTCGGATTGTTATCGGTGCCAGCTGTGCCATTCCAAACTGCGGCCGAGGTGTCTATCTTGGGTAATTTTGGGAAGTTGCCTGTCGCTTCAATCAATTCCGAAGTTTTGCCTTGATAGATCTGTTTCTCCGTACCGGTATTGATAACGATCTGCGTCATGTTGGAAATTTTGTCGGTAGATATAGCAACCACCGCCATCATGCCGTCCTGCGAGTCCGCGTCGACGGCGAAGCTCTTGCCGTTGATGTGCTTGTCGAGCCTCTTCTCCAGTCGCTCCGTCATCTGCCGGCGTTTCTTGATGATACGAGGTTCAAGTTTCGTTTTCTTCAGTTGTTCTATTATCATATCTCGCGTGTCCATTTCTATAGAATTCGGCATTGCGCTCGACGAGTTCTCCTCCATCGGCGGTAGGGCGGCGGAGCCGACGAGGTGCTCCGACAAAGGTTGTTGTATACCTGCAGTTTCCTGTTCCGCCTTTGTGTCCTCCTCCATTTCATTCACGACCAAATTCACCGGTAGCTGACCGAGGGTGGCCTGCGTGGATTTCTCGCAGGGCGCCTCGCTGCTTTGCGTTGGAGCAACACCTGTTTTCGCGGGGGCGTTTTGCTCGACGTCCTGATCCCTCCCCGCGATCATCGTCGGCTGACTGCTCGCGGACGGTAGAATCTCACCGGCCACCATCATGTCGTCCGGCGTGAGCGCCACCAGAGGATCCAGATGATCCAGTTGAAACTCCGGCAGCATGAACTCGTCGACGACCTTCTCGCACGGCGGCTCCAGCAACCGGTGGCCCTCGCCGTGCGCCAAATCCTGCAGTATCGGATCGTAGCTCGACGACAGATTGAGCTTCTTGGTGTCGGCCAGGTCTATGTCGATGGACAGGCCGTACGGGTCTTTGCTCAGGTAGCAGCCGTGCGACAGCACCTCCTCGCCCAGATACCGATCCACGCCCTCCACCATCTTGGCCGCGTCCAAGTCCATGCCGGATGGCACCGGCGGCTCCGTGCTGCGCATCTTGAGCCACTTCTCGAAGTCGGCCACCGTCTCGACGACGTCAACCACGCCCTTCCCAGTCACCGTCTGGTGCCAGCTCTCATTTCGCCTCGTTCGCCGGTCCCTCTTACCGACCTCCTCCGCCTCCCTCGACGGGGCGAGAAGCGCGTCGACGTGCGTGCATTCCGCTCCCTCGCCCTCGGAGGAGCTAATCCTCTCGCGGCTGTCTCGTCGTCTCGACGTGCAGGCGGCGGCGGCATCGGCGGCTCCTCTGCACGACATTTGTGGTCTGCTCCGTGGCCGGCACTGCGGAGGAAGCCCACGTTGGTGCGGAGTAACAACGACATTCGACGGGGCATTACTGTTTTGTTCACGGCAAGAAGGGGCCCCGCCGTTCCGGGAGCCTGCGGCCTGTTGCGCGTGCAATTGTCATCGGGCGTCCCGAAGCGCGCTCCATTTCCCTTACCGATCGTCCCTGCGAGACGGAGCGCCTCTTTCCTCCGCAATCCGCAAACCCCTCACATCACAGGCAGTCGCAAATCGCGGAGGATCGCGCGGTGCGAATTGTCGGAGTCAACATAACCTCTTACCATGTATACTGCTGGCGATACGGGCGGGCTATAGGGAGCGGTGTGTGCCGGATCGATACAGCGGTTATGTCTGTCTCTGAACGTGATAGGGAGACTCCGCGTCCGGTGATAACGAACAGGGCAGCGAGATATCGGTTTCCCCTCCGGCGTTCGCCTCGTAAACCGCGAGGAAGGTATTCGCGCGCGCTCATACGCGGCTCGCTAATCTCTCTCTACGGATTATAACAATAAAAGAGAAAATGACAAAACAATAGTTCACGAACGGGCGAACTAACGCGAACGGCTGCCGCTCGGCTCGCGGCCACAGCTGCCACCATCTAGCGGCATGCGCAGTCATCCCGTGACGCGTGGTTCAACGTTACGGCCGATAATAAAGATTCCGTTCTTTCTTCTTTTCAAATGCACTCTTCAATCTCTTCATATATGTATATGTATGTATATATAATTACACTTATTTTTCATCTTTTTTTTTTAATGTCTTGAATACGCAGGTAATTTATAGCTTCTACGAATATTATAGCTTTTCTGTAGTAAAATTTGAGAGTACAAAAGAATCATTTATTCAGATTGCAATAACACTTTAAATCAGGGTTGTGCCGTATACTTCAATTAGATTACGTCTACACGGATTATTTACGTGAAATCTTCGTGATGCTTACATGGTCTTTTGCTACGTAGACAATCCAGACTTGTAAACTATGTAGACTATTGTAAATTGTATGCACTATAATATAAGTAATATAATATAAAAGAATTAAATTATAAAGCAGTCTCTATCCACAGTAGAAATATTCAAAAATGTATCTATAGGAACAGGCTAAAGAAACCACACACATCTTTAGGATATTCTTAATGTATTTTGAATATTAATTTAATTACGAGATTAAGATTAAAAATGTAGCCAGAGAATTTTTCTTACTCAAATGGTAGTTTTTTTTTTAATACATTTTAAATAAATTAAATTATATGTATTTATTAAATGGATAAATATTTAGTCTGTATAAACTATTGTATAAGTGTAATCTATATAGACAGTCAATAGACCACAATTTATTCATTTAATAAATACATATAATTTAATTATCTTTAGCCTGTTCCTAGATACATTTTGGACATTTCTACTGTGGGTAGAGACTGCTTTATAATTTAATTCTTTTATATTGTATAGTAGTGATACAATAGTCTACGTATTTTACAAGTCTAGATTATTTACATAGTAAAAAGACCATGTAAAACATCACGTAGATTAATTTCACGTAAATAATTCGTGTAGACGTAATCTTGAAATCTACGACACAACCCTGCTTCAAATGACACACGACTTAATTATTAAACTGAAGACGAAAATCTTTTGCGAAAGCATTTATTACCGTCATATAGCTATAAATACAGTACTTAATATTTAAATACTAATATTTAAATAACTTATTGTCCCGAATTTTTACGCTCCGAATCAATTCGTGACGCACATGGAGGGGATTTAGTCATTTTCTCATCCACTATCAATAAGATTTTGAGTTGCTCGCTCTTCGAGTGCATCCGCGGCTCTTCCTGTGCCATCGCCTGACGCAATATTTTTGCCGTAGCATCGCGAGCTTCCGTCGAAGTTAATGATTTCCGAAATGTCGATTTGTCATATTTAATATCTTCCAATCTAACGTTCTTTCGATGCTCGATTCTTTTGATACTTGAAGCCGGCTTCATTTCTTCATAAGGTTTTCTGGGTGTTGTAGGTATCACCTTCTTGCCTTCGCAAGCATCACCTTTCTAATAATTGTAACAAATGCATTTTTAATTAATGATATGAAATCACAAAATGTCAAATGTCACATAAAAAATATCTCTTCTTTCTGAAAGAAAAGTCAGTAACTTTCAGATCTAAGAAAACAGCCTTAAAAAATGTATCACTTTCCTAATAAATTATAACAAATGCATTCTTAATTAATGATATGAAATCACAAAATGTCAAATGTCACATAAAAACATATCTCTTCTTTCTAAAAGAAAAGTCAGTAACTTTCAGATCTAAGAAAACAAACTTGAAAAATGTATTACCTTCCTGATAATTGTAACAAATACATTCTTAATCAATGATATGAAATCACATAAAAAATGTTAAATGTCACATAAAAAATATCTCTTCTTTTTAAAAGTCAGTAACTTTCAGATCTAAGAAAACAGCCTTGAAAAATGTATCACCTTCCTAATAATTATAACAAATACATTCTTAATCAATGATATGAAATCACATACAAAATGTCAAATGTCACATAAAAAATATCTCTTCTTTTTTAAAGAAAAGTCAGTAACTTTCAGATCTAAAGAAACAGCCTTGAAAAATGTATCACCTTCCTAATAATTGTAATACATTCTTAATCAATGATATACAATCACATATACAATGTCAAATGTCACATACAAAATATCTCTTCTTTTTAAAAGAAAAGTCGGTAACTTTCAGATCTAAGAAAATAGCCTTGAAAAATATATAACTGTGTATATAAAAGTATATAAAATGCTCTTCAGGTACGCTACCTTTGAAAAACCTTCCACCATTGCCCTGCTCAGCAAAACAGCTCTGGGCAATTTGTACGGTGGTGGTGGCTTAGGCTGTGGTTCTGTGAATCTTTTCGAGTCTTTCGACAATTTGTTCAGATCAGTGTATACTGGTTTATCCGTGGACCTCTTACAACGCAAATCCTTACAACTCGTTTGTTCTTGAGAATTAGGCAGCTGGCTCGTACTGGGATTCTCGGAGGATTTCTTAGGACCAAACACATATTGCCAAAGAGACAACTTCCGTTTCACGATCCTCTTTTTCTGTGTCGACGATGCTTTTCGGATGCATATTTTTTTCTTCAATCCTGTTAAGAAATATTGAAGTAACTATATGTAGAAACACAAACAAATCTCGATACCCTGATCTTGAATCATTTCTCTTTTATTTTTTATTTTTATTTTATCATAATATTTCATAAATCATCTTTCAAAAAATTTAAATTTTACCATAACACTCAGGTCTCTTTGACAAAGTTGATATCAATTTCTTGTTACAATCTTCGTTAATATTTTTCTTTAAACAGACAGACGACTTGGCATGATGCCATGATTGTTGCCACGAAAAGAGGTTATATTTATTTTTCTGAGAATAAATTACGATTAACGCAATATACATATATATAATAATTTATATATAGATATATATATAAATATATATACACAGATTATTAATCGAGATCAAGTCTTACGTTTAACGAGAATAAACCGATAATTTGGAATCTGGATCGAAAATATGCCATACTGAAGATAAATAATGCCCCGTTCAATCACATGCTCACAAAGAAATTACTATATGCATTCAGGGCTGTGTTCAGAAACTTCGCCCAGGTGCATCTAGATTCATCATTTTATTCATAGTGGAATACATACAGGTTCGGCGATCTTTATAAATTAATATCTTGAACCTACTACCTCCACGATGCAGAATGTTATATAGATCTCCAAGAGAAATCCATCATCCATACTATATTCATGATAGATGTCCTATACAAATCTATATCACGACGTCCATTAGACATCTATTATTATGGATTTTTAAAAACTTGATACACAGCCGATAGATAAAGTCAGCAAAGTTCTTTTTCTCGTATTTAAAAAACAAAATAGAATGAAATAATTAAAGCCGCAGCATTATGAGAAAAATCTAGTTAGAAAGATTTTTCTATCAAGTGTCGGTCGAATGTCTCTCCAGTAGGGTGCAAAAACTAAATTTGTAAAATTAAGAAAAATTTATACATTTTTTTAAGAGTTAAAAAATTATCTAAATTTTCCAATAAGTTTACAAATTTGATTTTTGCACCCTATTGGCCGAGAGACATTTAACCGACACTTGGTTGACATTAACTTCAATACACTACACAACTGCAATGACAGCCGCATACCTTTGACTATTATATAAATATGGACTGCTAGTCCCCTCATAAAAAGACATATATGCCCGGTGTCGCCGAGCTGAAGTTAATTGAAGTATCGAACTTCGATTGTTGGGCTCCATCCCAGTCAGTAAAAAATGTCAAATATGTCAAAATGTATTAAATGTTATGTGGAAAATTGATAGGGAGCCGGAAAAAATCTCAAATCGAAAGAAATTAAAAACAGACTCAGCACCTTTCCCTTACACATCGTAAACACGCTGATTTCACAGGAGCCTTCCCCTAATTCCCCGCAGAAAATTACTAAACATTAAGTGAATTAACATTCAGTGAATAACAAGGATGAAATAATATATATCGTGAATTCCCGAACGCATTCTTAAAAGTCAAGCAAGCTTTTTTGCAATTCGATTAAATTCAAGTTTTCAAAATATAAGTATGCAAATGTTAAGATTTTTGAAATTTAGATATAAAAATTGAAGAAAAAAAAATGGCCCATGAGGGGATCGAACCCGCGACCTTCGCGTTATTAGCACGACGCTCTAACCAACTGAGCTAATGGGCCGACCGTGCAAAACTCTTCTAAAAAGAGAGATAGATGTCAAAAAGAGCGCTGCTCAATGCTGCTCTGGCTGTGAACAGTGTGAACCAACCTAACCTGACTGACGCGATCAGCAGGCGACTAGTGTAGGCGGACAAACAGTGACGGACGTGAAGCAGCGGAGCGCGTACTCCTTTCGGCGAGGTCGAGCGTCGCGAATGACTCGGTCGTAGCGTCGACGCGGATTATGGCTAGCCGTAAGAAGACCGACGAAGATCCGTGCCGTCGGTCGTCCCTACCGAAACGCCACTTGTGGCCCTCATCGTCCGACGAGGAGGAGGAGAAGACGGCCGCCCCCTGGTCGCCCTGCGCGACGGCGTGCAAGGATCCCCCGTCTCCATCGGGGAACGGGAACGCCCACCTCCCATTCACGTCCGACGAGAAGATGATCGCTCGTTGCCGGATCGACACCCAGCCCAGGAACAACCCGTCGCCGACGTCGGACCGCTTCGGCAGGAGTCGCGTCGACCCCGTCGAGCAATCGACAGGTTAGGATTCGCAGTGTCACTGTATACCGTTTCAATTGTCACGCCACTTTGACCGTGAATTATTTCTTTTTCTCTTCTCGTCGGACTGCGAAAACTAAAAATAGAAATGATTTTCTTCGCAGGTCAAGACGCGTCGACGCGTCGCGACAACAACCCTTTCAGTTTCAAGGCCTTCCTGAAGAACGGCACGCAGCCAACCAACTACCATAACACCGGAGCGAGGCCGAAGGTCTATTCGTCCTCTACATCGAGTCCCGTTGGCAGTGGTGGTGGTGGTGGTGGTGGTGGTGCCCTCGACAAAGACAATGTTGGCGGTAGCGTTTATTCCGCCCGGAACCCGACGGAGCTGCCGGACTTTGTGCAGGATCACCTGGTCATCGAGCAGTGTTACCTGAGCCACGAGAACGGTCAGCCGGTGCTACCCGACGTCGACAATCTGCCGGATTTCGCGCTGAACAGCGTGGAACAGAGGCAATCTCGATTGCACGGCCAAAAGGAACGATCCCCCTTTTGGTTTCGCAATCGAGATTGCGAAGCCAAGAGGAACGACTCCGACGTCCTGTGCGACGATCTACGGTCGTTCGATCTCACCGAGACGCTGCACAAAGGCATGCCGCACAGAGACCACCATCCCCCCTCAAACGCGATGCATTCGAATCACTTGGACCTGCCGACGTTCGAGGACAGACTCAACGAAACCACGCCCGCGCTTTCTCGCCCCGAACGCAAAGGTAAAAACTTTGCCTACGTTTCCGAATTATATACAATTGAGTTTCTGCAGAGTCGTCGTGAAGATAAAAAGAGGCATTTTCCTTTGCAGGATTTCCACTCGATTTACCCTTTCCCGACTCCAATCCTAGTATAAGCACAATCGCGCGAGATGATCCTCCATCGGGCGGTGAAGCGAGCGTTCACAAATCTCTGCCGGACTTCTTAAGCGATGGTCCTATACACAACAGATCGTCAGATTCGGAACCTACTGCGAACATGGCGGAATCCACAGAAACGAGGGTAAGACCGTATTGTAATACAGGAATCGTAACAGATAAGATCAGGGTTGTGCCATAGATTTCAAGATTACGTCTACACGGATTGTTTACGTAAAATCTACGTGATGTTTACATATTCTTTTTGCTACGTAGACGATCTAGACTTGTAAACTATGTAGAATATTGCAAATTGTATCACTGATATATACAATATAAAAGAATTAAATTATAAAGCAGTCTCTACCCACAGTAGAAATGTCCAAAATGTATCTAGGAACAGGATAAAGATACCACGACATCTTTAGGATATTCTTGATGTATTTTGAAGCAAGGTTGTGCCGTAGATTTAAAGATTACGTCTACACGGATTATTTACGTTAAATCTACGTGATGTTTACATGGTCTTTTTGCTACGTAGACGATCTAGACTTGTAAACTATGTAGAATATTGTAAATTGTATCACTGATATATACAATATAAAAGAATTAAATTATAAAGCAGTCTCTACCCAGAGTAGAAATGTCCAAAATGTAGGTCTAGGAACAGACTAAAGATACCACATCTTTAGGATATTCTTGATGTATTTTGAACAGGGTTAGGTAAGTTATTATAATTTTTTTTTTAACTAATTGTAAGTTAAGTTAAAGTTAACGGTCTAAAAATTTAACTCAGTTAAGATACAAGTTAATCCATAATAAAATTGAGTTAAAAGTTAAGTTAATAAAGAAAAGTAATTGAAAAGTTAAAGTTAAATTTTTTTCATTTTATAATTTTAGGGTTTCTAAATAAAGTTTTTAAATAAAGTATATATTTGTTATTTCTGTTTACTATTACTTATTTCTGTTGAGTCGCGAAAAGAGGACCGATTTCGAAGGACTTCTTCCAACGTGATTTAATGCACAGAAGGTCCGCGAACAGTGATTCCTTCCCGCGGTCAGACAATATTTATTATATTTTTACAATTGCCTTGATGTGTATTCTCAAATTTGAGTTTGAAGACACTAACTTAGATATGTATTTTTATTTTGGGTTTACAAGAAGCACTAAAAATGTAACTTCAAGAAAGTTAGATCAAAAGTTAATAGTTACCGATAAAATGTAACTAAATTAAGGTAAAAGTTAAGAGCCTAAAATGTAACTAAGTTAAGTTAAAATTATTTAACTTTTTAACTTTTATCTTTTTAACTAGCCATTACCCAACCCTGATTTTGAACATTAATTTAATTACGAGATTAAGATTAAGAATGTAACCAGAGAATTTTTCTTACTCAAATGGTAGTTTTTTTTTACATAAACGTTAAATTATATGTATTTATTAAATGAATAAATATATAGTCTACCGACTGTCTACATAGATGACATTTATACAATAGTTTACGTTGTCTACACGTAAACGTATTATATTTTACGCGTAGATGCACAACCCTGGATAAGATGATATCGACAGGACGGAATATGTATGAGATTCTCGTATGTTGTAGCTTTTGCTTGAGAACGAAAGATTACGTCAGCAATTGGAGGTGTCTCGAAGGCAACTTAATGAAAAAATGGAAAGGTAATTGTGTACCTTGCTTAAGATAAGTTTAATTTGTTTAATTAACTTTTTGACTTTACACATCATCGACGCGTCAATTGCAGAATTCGTTCGTTGGAGACGGAATTGTTGTCTAAAAAGGAGGTCGAGCACGAGGAAACCGTACACTTGGAAAAAGCGATGGAGCAGGTCGAGGATAATTTGAAACGAAGTACAGTAAGTACAAGGATTCTGCATTTCAAATTTGTAAATTTGAATTCTTACGTATTGATTATATTATGTGTCATTGGAAAACGATGACAGCGCGCTATTTGTGTTTCGTAGAAACGGGCAGTTAATGCTGAGAGCACTGTCACGTCGTTGAAGAAAAAAATTAAGGTTCTAACGGTTAGTATGCTATTTTGCATTCGATTCGATCAACTGTAACGAAAGAAAATCTAAAACGCGACGTATCGCATCTGTTAATTTAGACAGAGATATCTCTGCTGCGACTGGAGAACAGTGAACTTCGGGCCGGCATCTCGACTTCGACCGGACAAAGTGAATCGACGCACGCTGGTGCCGTTAATATGAATCGCACGGTCAGAAGGCTCGCGCGTGATTTATTTGCGGCTGCATCGTCGGCCGAAGTATCCCTCAGGTATCCTTACGAGAAATATTTTACACTGCTATCAATTGCCAAATCTATTAAAATATTAAAATCTATTATTTGAAATAATTTAGGACGGAACGTTTGTTTCAATAAGGATGCACATAGTTTTTTCGTGATCTAATCGAGATTCTTAAAATTTTCTTTCGCAGACAATTAATGTCCGGTGTGGACAATCTGAGAGTGCTCGCATCGACCCTCGAGAACGTGGACAGGATAGAAGACTGGACCAAAGACTTTTTACCTGATTCCGACGAGGACAATGCCGCCGGTCCTGCAGTATAATAGAATTTTCTCTTTTTCTCTCTATATTATATATACACTTATATATATATATATATATATACATTCGTATTTTCACACTATTCCCCTTTTTATCACTTAATCATATATCCTATCATTCCCGTAATTTCCTTGCGCGCGCATCCACCGATCCAACGATTGATCGTTTCATCAATCGTTCATGCATTGCTATGCAATGTATTTGAACGTAATTAGAATTCATTATTCAGTTGTTCCTTGTTACTTACACTTGTTGCGGAATTTTTAATTCTCATCCCTCTCGTACCGCCGCTCAGACAAACATACCACAACGCAAGATCGCTTCGATCTGAACGTAATACATATTATTTATAAAATATTCGTTATATTTGTGTATTTTTGTGACGATTTGTAAAATTTATTCAATCGAACGACGATGCAAAGCTGCAGATACATTTCCGATCGTATCGCGACCTTCCTCGATTAAAGGAATATATTTTCTTAGCTGTATATTACTTATATGTGTAAACGAAAGAATGCGAATTTAAAAAAAAATCGAAATTTCACGTGATACTATCGCGAAGCTGACAGTCAGCTTAAAAGTGTTCGCATCACGCAAAACACGGCACGTGATGTAAAGCTAGAATATATATTTTTGACAAGAGATACCAGGACTCTTACCGCGTATACGATATGTACCCCACGAGGCTTTAAAATAGAAATACAAAAAAAAACAGATGTACATTTAGTCCGATTCCAGTCCATAAATTTACCGACAAATTCAGATCACAATGCATGTATATATTGCGAAATATTATAATATTTATTTACGAGAGAATCATCGTATGTGGATACATATACATGCGGGATACACTCAAATGTCTGCGAGGCATACTTTGGTATTGAAAAAAAAAAAATTAAATACTTAAATAAATATTAAGTATAAACATTTATGGTGCTCGGTTTGCTGACTTTTTTTATTTGATACTTTATTTGTGGGACAAGTTTCAAATAAAAAAGTTGGGAAATAAATTGTATAAAAGTTAGAAAATATGTGTTCTGATCTCATCTTTATCTCTCTCGATAACAAATAACATTGCGAACTTGAAATTAATATTTTTTAACGCATTGTAACCGAACGACAGATATATAAAAGAAATAAAAATGAAGTTTTCAAAAAAATGCAATAAATGAATCGTTAAGAATATTCAAAAAGACCTGTCACATACGTTAAAGAAAGAGCAAAAAATTATATGAAAATCAGGGGGTGTACAAACACCCTGAGGAATCAATTGACGATAAATCACATCGCGGGAGGAGAATATATTCAACTTATCCCAATTCCTCGAAAATACTAAGTAGATCGGTCTGCGTCTCGGTGTGACTCGTTTGCGTATTTAACCAGGATCTACAGGCCCCAGTGGGAATATTGCAGTCGGCCCCGCAAATCAAAGATTTCGTTTGAGTCTCGGCGGAGACTGTAGTGTCGTCGTGCGACCAGGCGGTCTGGGTCTGTATATTGGACAGGCCCAAGTCGGAAGACAGCATTTTGTCGCACGTTTGAGTGTACGTGTTGCTGTACAACAGTTGCTCCATGTTGTCCAGATTGTCTGTCGTTTGCGTTTCGATGTTCGAACTCAGGGCAAACGATCTCGACAGAGATTCGGTGTAAAAGTACGACGGGGAGAAGGCTTGCTCGGTTTGCGTTTCTATGCTGCTAAATTTGTCGTCGAATGTCTTGGCGGTTAGCATAGGATCCGCCCGAGACATCCCGTCGGCCGAGGCGAAGGAGTATCCCTCAACGACTGCCGACGTGTCCTCGACGTAGGGCAACGTCATTAACGCCACCGTGCTCTTCGGCACGCCCTGTATCAAAGGATTACGACTGTGGTTGTAGAACGTATCGAATTCCGTCTGAGTTACGCTATCGTTAAACGCCTCGAACATATCTTTCTCGGGTATCGTTTGCGTGCCCGAGGTGCTCTTCTCCCAGAAATCCTGCAAACCCACGTCGTGGCGGAGCGGCAGCGGGCTGGCCGGGAATAAATTGGCCGACGCGAAATTATCGCCGAGATTAATGTCCTCCTTCAGCGACGTCTCCCTCGACTGTTTCGACAACGCGCGGCAACACCTCCCACCGCGTTTGTGCACCCTCGACGAATCTCTGTGTGCCTGCGGTGTTTGCGTCTCTATCGACTTCCCGGAGATTCTCTCCTTGGAATAACTATTGGTCTGCGTTTGCTTAGATATTCGACGTTTCGCGCTGTGCAGACTGCTACCGTTGAATTTCGATGGACTCGGTATCTTCTTGCTTCTTTTATAATCGTCCGTCTGCACTCCAACGTCGACTGTACTTTTTGTCGCACTGGTACCTTCACTATTCTTTCCGGATTTATCTGTATTGGGCAGTATCGAGATGGGTTTGCTTATAATTCTCCTCGGTAAGATGATTTGCATCGCCTTGGAACTCGCGTGTCTGTTGAAGAAATTTCATAAATGTATCAGTAAATCTTCCATCCAATTCCAATTACGTTCAATCATAACGATTAACAGTAAAGATGCGTATATATGTACGATGAATAAATATACCTCGAGTTTTTATACTTCTCCGTTATGGTGTGCATAGATCGCTTCGCGTGCGTAAGCAGCGCTTCGTACGTGACGTAAGTCTTCGAGCAGGAACACGTGAATTCCACGCCGCAGACTCTCGTATGCCCCACTTTGGCGGATTCGGTGGAGAAGCTCTTACCGCAGCGATCGCACGCATAATTTCTTTCCGCGTGCACCTTCAAGTAATGCTGAAAAGGACCAAATGTAGCGTTATTATTCAATAATTCCAGAGAGTGATCTTCAAGCATCAAATCTGTCGCTAATTTATAAAATGAAATACACTGAGAAATGTACAGTCGTGGACACATTGGTTGCGACACTTTCTTTTTTATAGGTAATATATATTTAATATACATAATATATGAGTATCAGGAAAGACCGTGTAATGTTAACTAACAATTGAGATCTTAAAACGCCAACAACGGTACAAAGCGGATCTTGGCGCTTCCATATGATATTAATGTAAATTTTACAATTTTTGGTTCATACAACACCGGTAGAACGCCCGTCCGGCAGACGTGGAGATCCGGGTTCGTTTCCTGGCTGAGAACCATGAGGTGATATTTTTTCGCAACGAATTCTTTACAGATTCGTATGGATGCAAGTTAACATTTATTTGATGTCGCGAAGTTGAGGGAGATTTTACAGGACTTGATGCTTTGAGCATCGATCTATTAGATTGCCCTTGGCAATTTAATTGTAATATTACGCACTACTTCGGAGCTACGGAGATGCACGCGATTTGCGGCCATGTAGTGTCATATGAACCAAAAATTGTAAGATTTACATTAATATCACATGGAAGCACCAAGATCCGCTTGGTACCGTTGTTGGCGTTTTAAAATCTCAATTGTTATTATACATAATATATATTTTATAGATAACTAATATTTTGCAAGTGCGAACCACGATGTACTAGGGTAACTGTCCCTATTAGTGTGCCTGTACGTTTTAATGTGCTTTTATATTTAAATAACTCATAAAAATAAATTGGTACAAATAAATAGACAAAGTATTTTTTTTATTAAGTTAAAGTATTAATTTATATAAATTATAAAAATAAACTGGTACAAATAGACAAAGTGTTTTTTTATTAATTTAAAGTATTAACTTAATAAAAAAAAACGCTTTGTCTATTTATTTGTACCAGTTTATTTTTATAACTTATTTAAATATAAAAATAGTGTGCTTTTATACTTAAATAAATCATAAAAATAAACTGGTACAAATAAATAGTGTTTTTTTTTATTAAGTTAAAGTATTAACTTAACAAAAAAAAAACATTTTGCCTATTTATTTGTACCAGTTTATTTTTATGACTTATTTAAATATAAAAGCATACTAATAGGAACATACAGGCACACTAATAAGGACAGTTAATCCTATCTTTAGTCCCTATCTTTAGTCTAGAGACAGTATAATGCCAATCGTGGTCCACAGTTGCAAAATATTAGTGCGTTTTGAAAATAAAAAAAGAAGCAGACACTTTCTTCTTTTTAGGTTTCAAAACGCACTAATACTTTACAAATGCAGACCATGGATTGGTGTTATACTGTCTCCAGGCTAAAGATAGTACATCGTGGTTCGCATTTGCAAAATATTATCTATCTATAAAGTATACATTATGTATATTAAATATATATTAGAAACCTATAAAAAAAAAAGTGTCGCGACCGATGAGTCCACTTCTTCTTCTTCTTCTTCTTCTTCTTACTAAAAGCTTCCGCTTCCACCAGAAGCGATACAGCCTGTACTTAAGGTTTGTGCGACAATAGATGATGATGCAATATTTGGTGCGACAAAAGATGATGCAACACTAAGAAGAGTACTTGAGCCACAGACGTCCACCTCAGTCCGTGGCTCACAACGGAATCCTCCGATGTGTCCACGACTATACACGCACCTGCTTCAGGTATTTCATAGTGCTGAAGTATCGCTGAGAATTGACAGTGTAGACGCACGACTGGGCCGGGCAGTGATAGCGTGCGCTCGCCTTGGCAATTTTGTCCAACTTCCTGCGTTGGTGCACCTTGAGGTCGTGCAACCGGTAGCGCGGCTCGTTCCTGAAGACGAGCCCGCACTGCTCGCATCTGACATTGTTGTTTATCACGCTCAGCTCTTGCGGCGACGGGCAGATCGTTTTCTCGGCCGGCAACGCGCCGCTTTCCGCCGGTCCGTCAAGTCTCCTCGGCATTGCAGGTTATCTCAGCGGTGTGCGACTTCACACAGCCAGACTCTCCGTCGTATATTTCGCAAAGTCAGCGGTATTCGCACCGCGCACGATGTCCAAGTCTAACAGGACACACATGGAAAAGTGGTAAACGCGTGAAAAAAAAAACAAAATACTTCCCTACGCTCTCATTTTTAGTCTTTTCTCATCGTCATCTCATTTCGCTTCGCACTGTTTAAAGTGCCAACGTAAAGCGTAAGAGATATGATATATTTTACGTATTAAAAATACAATGTATTAAAAATAGTCTCATCTTAATATATATACCTTGTCTTGTTTAAAAGGCAATAAACACTCCTAAATACGTTCCCCTTCGCATTTTTTTTTGGTCTTCCAACGCATATGTTTAACATTTAAAAAACTTTTCTTTACATCTCCGTCAAGCTGAAGTTACTGTTACGATTCCAGGCTATTGCAGTAGTCGCGTATTTGGAGTTATCCTCTTCAGGGCTTATCTTTGCGAAACCATCTTGAAACCAATGAGGAATTCGGATTTAGAATAGAATGACACGATTATATACTATATGCTTTCTGAGTGCCTCGCACACACGTCCCTCAACAGCCTGTCAAGTGTCAGCGCGGCGCTACTTGTCGCAAGCCGGGGAACGAATCCTCCTTCGTTGCCCGGCTCGGCGATACGTCTCGCTCGTCTCATCGGTCCGGTTGGGTCGATCGACCTTCCGTCCGCGTACAGCGGCGGCGGCGGCGGCAAATGCTCGAGAGACGCGTGCGACGAAAGTGGACCGCGGCCGAATTCGCGACCGCACGCAACATACTGACTTAGTGCGCTCTCGCTGACGCTCGTGAGTGGGACGGTGCCGTGCCGTGCCGTGCGTGCATCGAGTGTGCGTTTATTAACAATTATTCCCGCCTTTCCCGAAGCTGTAACGTCTGGATCCGCGCCGGGATCGGATTTCCCCCGGGACCCTCTTCGACGGTGTCGTTTGGACACGGGGACCACCGGCCGATCCACACGACGGCTGTCAGCCTGTCACACACACACACGGTAAAAGTTGGGACGTCGGCGATTCCGCGGCGGTTTTCCGCGGATCACCGTGTATATACGTGCATACGTGCACCACATAACACGTATGCGGCGGCCGTGTTATTGATTTTTACCTGACGAGAGAAACGCGTAATCGCACACGTATACTTATATACGTACGTTATGTCCCGCGTGTAGCAGGTCCGCAAGTTCTGTTATCAACTCCCTTCGACGCCTCGGGAATTTGCCAGAATCATCCGGCGTTTTACTGCAAAATTGATTGATCCGCTGCTTCCACTAATTGCGCTTTGCTGTAACGTCTCTCTTTTTTTTTTCTTCTCGGTAAAGCTCGAGTGCTCATTAAGGGCTGAATCTCGGGGGGGGGAGAGGACTGATTCTTGTCAATATCGATCAATTATAGTTGTTTACCCACTGACGTCTGCATTGCAGTTGATACTATGACCTAGAAAAAAAAACAGAAAATCGTTTAAAAATTAATCAGCTTAAGAGTATCATAATTCAATTGTCATACGATAAATAATTGAAATATAATTGTCAAGCGGTCAATATATCGAAAGCTCTTTCTATAATTTTCCACTCAGGTGTTTACTGATTCTTTTAATATTGGTTTTTATATCGGTAATCTTCGATTTAAAGAAAAAACGTCGCTGCAGAATAATCAAAAGAAAATTAAAAAATTTCAATAATTTTTTTTAACTTCCTCATCGGAAAGCTTCACATAATTTTATACATACGAGAAAATCAGCATTTTGTGAAATTATTTGTCCCAAGATTTTTGCACCGTGTAATAGTGCAAAATAATGTACAAAAAGCAGTCTAATAAAGCAGTCCAAACTAATGTATTCATTGTGCCAATTTATGAGATCGTCGCTGTGATCATATTGCATTGTTTTCTTTAGAATGCACCAATAGAGCTATCACATGAACTTACCGTTATCAAAGCTTTTCTTCTCATAGTTGTTAAGATTAAGAAAACGTGATTAAATATATATCTGTGATTTAGATTTGTTTTTTTCAGATAAATATAGGTAATGATAAATGTTGTCGTGTTAGCACATTAAAATAATACAGTTATATATAAAAATACAAAAAATGTAAATCCGCAATCAACTTTATATATAAATCCGAAATTTTGTAATCGTTTGTTTGTAATAGATAGCGTGTATAGGCGTGCGCGCGCGATTATTCCAATCAATTTAAAAATTGTCATTTTCGATATTATCCAATTAATCCAATCCAATATTATCTCAATTAATGGCAGATTATTAATTTCAATGATGCAAATATAAAAGTCTTCGATTTCAATTGCGCACTTTATTATTTTTTCAATGACAAGTTCTCGATAAGGGATAACTATCATTTCCGTAATCTCTCGCATTATGAAAATATTTACACTGATAATTCAATTCTGATAATTTTGATAACAAAATGATTCATTATTGGAAAAAAAAATATTAGTAACGTCACACGAAGTTTTCACGAGGAAAAATTGATTTTGAATTCACTGTTGAAGAATTTGCATTATAATATGATGGAAATGAATAGAACTGCTGCTTGCTCGCGACATGCCGTTAGCAAACACATCGCATCAGTTGTCCATTGATCGATAGTGTATGCTCAAACAATTCAAATGCGCCCTGTCTTTTATGGATTATTAAAATGCTTTGGCATTTCACTTCATTATAGCTCTTAGAGCGTTTAAGTTTGTATACAGATAATTCCATCGATTTTTTTACACTTATTAATTTAACAGTGAATTTAATTGCAAAATCAGTAACCGTAAGCACCTAATGCCGAGAATTCAATTTGGCATAAATGCCAAACGTTTCATCATATTGATATAATTATTAATAAACATTGGCTATATTATTGCACATACCTCAGTTTGTCGCTTATTTTTATTATGATAAAAATTATGTGAATCTTTTAGATAGTGATAAGTGTATTCTTGAGAAACTGTTCTTGACGAAAGCTTAATCACCTGGTCGCTTAAAAAAATATCTCAGTGTTCCTTGTATTTAATTTCAAAATTCTATGTCTGGGCAGCGGGAGGAGTGAATTAGGTTTAGTTGAGATCTTTGATCCTAGGGCCATAAATATAATAATGGGCACTTGTGAAAATTTTAACGAATACAAGTAGATGTACGATATAAAGGAATGTAATAAAAATAAAGTTTATATTGGAAGAAAAAGTGGACCTTTAGAAATTTAGAGTGTTGGTCCCTCATTTCTGTTAAAAAGAAAGTAAAGAAAAATCGATTAAAACTGGAATGACACCCGGTACATTTACGTGATATCCGAGACAGATAAAATTGCAAATGATCAGCGAAGAGATAGAGCGCTTATAGTTTCGTCGTGCTGTCAGCTGGCGAACGCAAAAGTCCGCTAAAAATTTATGTAAAACCAGGTTACGTTGCTTCGCGAAAGATCGTTTCCTCCGGCCTTCGCGTGACTATAAAAATTATACCTCGAATATAACAACAAACTTGGAAAATGTCAGTCACGTGCTAAAATCGCTGTTTCGTTTGGTTTGTACAGCGAATACTTAGAAGAGGAAGACGATGCGCTAACACCGTTCCCGTTTTCTGCGGGTGAAAACCAGGATTAGAAGAGATAGAGAAATATAGAAAGAGAGAGAGAAAAGAAGAAGAGGACACGCGAATCGATAGCATACGATTTTGGTGGTGTCGTCGGGTCAGCTGGTGGTGCTTTCATCGCCCGGTATAATCAAGTCGCCTCCTTCTTCTTCTTGTCTTGGAAAGCATTAACGCGGAAGTGCCACCGGCGCTGAGAAGTCACCACTCTTTTTCCGCGATGAGAGACACCGGTAATCAGGCCAAGTACGAGCAGCTCTTGGACGACGCCGGCCTCGAGATTCGCAACGACGACAAGGAGCGCAACGACGAGAATGCTGCTGCGACGCTAGACGAGGTAAGCGCTCAGCAATTATAGACATCTGTTTCTCTTTCAGCGACAAGCACACTTGTTAAAAAGTCGAATGTCGAATCGCGCGCGATATTTCGATATTTGAAGAATCCTCAATCCATCGAAGTTGTCAGAAGTATAAAAAGTGCAAATTCATGAGACGCTCGTTTTAGCGTTAAAGCCACGGCACACAGAAAAGCTGAATCAAAACTCAGTAAGACGTAAAGAAATCAACATGTTGAATTTTTGGTAATCACGTGTGACTTCGACTTTGACGCTAGCGTCAAAAAAAGAAGCTGGATTTTCTCAGCTTTAGAGATCGGAAGAGCACACGTCT